CAAGGGGGGCTGACAAGATCCTCGTGCCTCAACAGGCTGTGAGTGTGTGAGTGAGTGACTATAAGCCGAACCTGGGAGCAGTGTGTGTAACAAGGCCTGCTTGCTTGTTCTTGCCATCAAAGTTAGGAGAGAAGCGGGGAGGAGGAGACGAGAGTCTTCCTAAACCGGCAAGGCAACGCGTCTGTTCTTGCTGCGGAGAAACAGGGCATTTCGCGTCTAGCTGCTCCAAGCCTGGGCCTGACAAACTGGCCCAAGGTCACCCAGCTGGATTCATGCCTAAGACCAGACTAGAACTCACAGGCTCCCTGTTGCCTTCACCGCTACCTCAAACTGGCATAAATCCTTAATAGTCCTGCGTTAATAGCAATACAGAGAAACTCAGCAACTGTCATAGTAATGTCCAGCTAGTCCCATTCAAATGGATAACTGAAAAACTGACTCAGGCAAAGATTGTAACACACACACACACACACACACACACACACGTAGTACTGGTTAAGTCATCAGGCTATAAACCAGGAGGCCATGAGTTCTAGTCCTACCTTTAGCACAAAGCTAGTTGGATGATTTTGGGCCAGTCTTTCCCTCGGTCCTAGAAAGAAGGCGGCGGCAAGGGTAAACCACTTCCAGAAATAATGCCAAGAAACCTGCAGGGTCCAGGCAGACACAGGAGTCAAAAAACAGACTTGAAGGAACAATAAAGAAAGTAAACAGCAGCGGTTACCATCTGGCTGGCATTTACCTTTGTATTGTTGTAGATTGTGTTGGTTGACCAGGACTGACTAATTAAACAAGGTGATGTTTGGTCTCTGAAAACTTACAGCAGTGTCAGATGGTAAAACAAAGCAAGCTGTGTGGAGGCAAGGGCCCTGACCACTCCCCCCCCCCCAAAAAAAACCCAGGATGAAATGGCCAGTAGCTCCTGTTTTCTTGGGAAAAGAAACTGAAGATTTGTGCTTTCTCACTGATTCAATCTGACTTATTCTTGGATGGTTCAAATGGGCATCTCTTTTTCCCCTCTGCCTTGAAAAAGATTTTAAGAAATTGGCCTTAAGGGGCATCTGGATATGTCAAGGTGGGCTACTAATAGTTTCAAGGGTTTTGTGTGTGCGTGTGTGTGTCTGAGTGTATGTAAAAACCAGCTTCCAAAGTTCCCCCTCCCAAAGCACACTGCTTAATTCCAGCACCAATATACCAACTTTCAGCTGTGCATTTTTATTTGTGCTTAAAAAAAACAAGGGGTACAGATTCCACCCTCCCATCCCCTTAAAAGACAAAAGGGATAAACATGACAGCCACACCCACTGCAGTGACGTCATTGTCTCCCTAGCCTTCTCAGTTAACAAACGTAATGTGACAAAAACCCATTGTGTTTGCTGAGACCTTCTGAAATTGTCTGAAATCTTTTGCTGTTTGGTGAATTCAACAATCTCTCACTCAATCGCCCTACTTTGAGGTCAGCAATGGAGTATCCTGGGAGGTTGTAATCTGGGAAATTATAGCCCTCTCATAGCTCTCCCCGCAAGACACATGCCACACCACCCCAATTTAAATCCTACACCACTGATAAAGTGAGCTTATGCCTTTTAATAAAAATTGTTAGTCTGAAAAGGTGCCACCGGACTCCTTCAGATTTTAGACCAACATTCCGTTTCTTCTATAATGCCAAAGAAATAAAAGAAAGTCCTGATCACCACATGCTAAAGTTCCTCTATGACGGGATTTTTTTTCTTGTTGTTGTTAAAAAACACACACACACGAAAACATGGCATTCTCTCAGTCATTTTACTCACTTGGTCTTATACGGAAACTGTTTCCTAGGCAAGACAGCTAGAACTGTGGGAAGAAACAACTGGCATAGGACAGGAGAGGCATTACATGGCCTGCTGGCCATGGGGAGCTCTTCATCCTACCTGCAGTGCAAAATGGCCAAATTTTGTTGGTGGGAATTGGCTGGAAACATTGTGACTTAGGGCTACTGGGAGGGTTTCTGGAATCTTAAGACTGGTGATCAGAGGAGGCCTCCTATCCCCTTGCTAAAGAACAGGAATCTGAGTCAAGGCCCCAGCTATATGGCATCAGTCATCCCAATTCACAGCTGTATGGTGAGAACTACAACCAGCATCCTCCATCAGATTAATAACTAATGGAGGATTAGAACTTGCTGGCACTGTACATGTCTTGCACATAAAGCAGTCTTTCCTGATCTAATGTTCTCCAGAGATTAGGACCACCATATTCTGGCTGCAAAATTCCAGACAATGCCAAAGAATTAGTTTTCTGCATGTCTTTGCTGACATCTAATGGTTGTCTAAAATTTTGCAACCAATATATAGCGCCCCTACTATAGTTGTGGGACTACAATTCTCATAATTTCCAGTGAGCCTGCCCAAGGTAAGGAATCATCACTTGGAGGTGGAGGTAGAGGACAATGGCTATTTACTATGGGCTTTTAGGTTGCTACAAATACTATTCAACTATATTTCCCAGCAACCTTAGCACTATGGCCAATATTGACAGTTATTGGGCCATACTTAACAACATCTGGAATGCTATTGTTTCCCCCATTCCTGCCATAAAATATGAATGGGAAACAAAGGTCCTGCAGCATTCATAGTTCCAAATCCTGCGACTTGATGCAGGCTTCTTGAACAATGTCAGTGCACATTTGGGGATGTGTTTCTACCTTTCAGATTTAGCATCTTTGCAAATAAAAATGGTGCGGACTAGGAACACGAGGACACACCATGAGAAAAAGGGAATGTGCTGATTCTTATCCTGGTATTTCCAAACAGAGGTGGCCAGGTGAACTATTTTCATCCAGGCACGCAAGCTTGAAAGAAAATATATCCGATAAGATCTGGCTGAATGGAATAGGGTAAAAGGATATGCAGTTTCACGTAGAAAACTCTGCATGTGGAAGAGGAGAAAACATCTCAAATATACATACCTGCTTCTAAAATTAGCAAGAAATCCATTCATGCTTTAGTGCATTGACTGCTTTTTTATAAATAGAGAAGTGATGAATGGAGAGGTTCCCACCGATTTCCCTCCCTTTACAGAAAATGTTGCATAAACTGCTTTGCAACCTGTGCTCCTTCACCTTGATTTTAAAACTCTGCCATCATTCTTTTGGTGGAAAAACAGGTTGACTTCAAAATCTGGCAACAGCAGAAAAGGCTGTCCTTCCCCCTTTCATATAGAAGGGGTGGCATGAACTACTTTATATCCTGTTGATTCCCTCAGGAACAATAAGCTTTGATGCTAGCAGTCTTTCTCTGAGTGAGCAGGTAGACTTTGAGTTCTGCAACAGCTGGAAGTGCTAAACCACTTAATCCAGGTAAAAATTGTTATCTTCTTGGGTGAGTGAGGTTATGGCTTGATTACTGTCCATTGTTGTTGTTGTTCTCTCCCTCCCTCCCTCCCTCCCTCCTCATGACTTTTGCTCCTTTGGCTTTATATTTCTTACTCCTTTCTCTGCACTCTACATTATAGTGCTTACTCGAAAAGGCAATAACATGAGAATGGGTGTGCACATAGTAACTTGAATGCAGATCAGCACCATGACGCACCCGAATTCTTTGGTTTCATTTTTAATCGTCCTTCATGGCGCAGCTGTAAGCTTTTAAAATAAATACATAAATACATACACATACATACACTCACTCATCTAGTGCTAAAGTATGCCTACAGGATTCTGTGATACGCGCTTTCTCCCACAAGCATATAGTTTTATATTTATGGAATCTTAATCCATACACTTCATCCAATGGGACAGTTCTTGGATATTTTAATTTTGCCCTTTAATATTGAAAGAGATCTATTGTTTACGGTCAGACTATGAATCTTGTTTTAATTCTGAGAAAGGTTTGTTTGTTAATCAAGACGGAATCACTGAAAACATGCAACACAGCCATTTTGTTAATTGGACTTAGTTCATTGTTTTTATACAATGTTTTTACGTAGCTGTCTTTATGTAATGGTTCTTACTCGTCTGCAGTGAATAATACTGACTTGATAACTGAACTTAACCTTAGTGAAACTCACTGGATTCCTTTCAGTTTATCCAGATAATTTGTATCTCAATTTACCAACTCAATCCAATACCATTGTCTCCCAAAACTGAAACAGGAAAATAGGATTATCATCTCATTCCCTTACTTCCCAGTCAGTCCCTTAAAAGGTGGGTTTTCTAACTTTCCTATACCCAGTTTCACACTGTCTGTTAATTTTATTGGATTGAAAGAATTGTCCACAATGATACAACCCACAATTATGGTTGCATTACAGCGTGTGATTTCTGTGTCTTCACAATTCCATCTAAAATGAAAGCAGTAACAACGCTATAAGATGGCTCAGTATTGCTCAGGAAAGTGGATTTCAGAACTTTTGGTGTCATTGAAAATGCAAATATGATCCAACACTAAGTTTTAGGTTGACTTGGGTTATCCTCTGCATATTGGTGATGTTTCCTTCTATTTATCTCTCTTTTGTTTCATTGGACAGTGGTGTCTGGCCACATTCATAACAGAAGAAGTCGGTTAACTGAAGCTTATTTGGGTCAAAACAGAGATACTGTTAGGAGCCAGTTCATCTGTCCAAGCAATTGTTCTGGAAGAGATTTGATTCTTTGCCAAGGTCAGCTTTGTAGTTTGGAGGTTAAATATAGACATTACATCTGAAAGGGTGTGAAAAAAAAGAATGCCAGTGCATCAGAAAAAAAGTAGCCTATACCTTTAATATATATTTAATTTGCAACATTTGTCTGCAGATAAAGGCGATGCCAAGTAAATGCCAATATAGCATTTATGCATACATATAGAAATATACATACATACATACATACTGTATACAGTGGTACCTCGAGTTACGAACGCCCCTCCTTACGAATTTTTCAAGATACGACCAGCTCCGGCCCCAAAAAATTACCTCTACTTGCTTACTCCGCCCCGAGCTACGAACGCCCCTCCTTACGAATTTTTCAAGATACGACCAGCTC